GCATCCACTCGCCATTCTATTATTTGTTTTCCTCCTTAGTACAAGATTCAATCTTCGAAAATCGCAAAAAATATTTTTATCCGAAATCTGCCGAAAGTAGTCAACAATCGGCAGTAAAGTATAAGAAATCAGCAGTAAAGTAGAACTTTATTTTTATTAAAAAGAAGGGAATGGCGAGTGGATGCAACTGTAACCGATATTTGTACGTAGGTATCACAAATTAAAGTATCTATATAATTTTACCAACATTTTTGGTAAAGTCTGCTGCGATCCATTTAAAGGCCATAAGTCGTTAACTTATTCCTCTTGATAGACATTATACACATAAGAAAATTTTCCGATTCATATAACTTTTTAGAGGTAAAAAATAGTAAATAGGTTTTTTAGGTGATTGTAAAAGTTAAGAATATGATTTCTTCAGTTTAATTATATGCAGTTAGTTTTAATTCAAATTTAGGATTTAATACCTGTTTTATTTTGTTTAAATATAAAGTTTATGAAAAGTATGTCTTTTAGTCATTTAATTAATTTTTTGTACTTTTGATTATGTTTTCTTAATTTAAAAATTAATAAATGGGTAGTTAATTTTCGACGCCACTGTATGTGGTTTTTATATTTTATATTTTATTTAGAATGAATTAGAAGTCAATTCAAGGCTGTCAAGTTATTTTAAAGATGTAATACGCTTTTTCGAAATATATGGTTAATAATATGGATATAGTCACAGGGGGACAAATACATCCACAGCTCAGCTAAAATAAAAATACATAATAATTTTATTCATGATTATTGGAGACCAATAAGTGCCTGTGATAATAAGCATAAATTGGTTTAAATCGACTCACTCAAACATAGCCTTTTTAAACCATGAAATGGCTGAAAGTCAGGTGGGCATATTGTGTATTTTACTTATAGCTGGGCTGTACATATAGCCACAGCCCAGTTAAAAGCAAAATACACAATAATTTTATTAATGGTTATTGGAGGCCAATAAGTGCATGTGATGATAAGCATAAATTGGTTTAAATCGACTCACTCAAACATAGCCTTTTTAAACCATGAAATGACTGAAAATAGTGATTTTTCGAAAACATGGATTTTTATTATATTTTTTTGAACTCTTAGCCAATATTATTTGAAAATGTTTTCATTGCTTCTATATAGAGTAAGATCTATGGTAACAAACTACATTAAAAAAATTTAGCTGGCAAGTTGTTCTAAGAATATATGAATTTATAAAATTAGACAATTTTGCCAAAAAATTGCATTTTTAAAAAAATTCCCAAAGACCATTTAGGGCATCAATAACTAAATGTGTCCTATATGGTTTAAAAGAGAAATATTTTCTTAACAATTAACAGTTTGTTTAATGTCGATAGCTTTATTAGCAAAAAAAGTAAAAAATTTTTAAGTTAGGTCTGCATAGTAACTTTTGCGTAGCCCTGTATAAATAGGTGATAGGGGGAGAAAAGAAAAGGGGAGTTTTTTTCACTTCTTGGGTCCATGTCTATTTACAGTTAAAAAAGAAATAAAATTAGAGTATATGAGGTGCACTCATTGGTGGCTAATAAATGGAATCACCCAGATAAGTATTTAATTTTTAAGTATTAATTTAAAAAATCAATTGTGCTGAACCCCAACATTGGTTTTAAAATTAAAAAGAATTATTAATTATAATTACTCAGTATAATTAACAATTTCACAAACCGGATCGGATTGCCAATGGGAAAAACTTTTTTAGACCTGATTACAGCTAAACCTACACTGAGAAAAAAGTTTATTGCTCCCAAATAAAAAAAATATTTAAATATGAGTCATTCCAAATAAAAACACCAAATGGGGTGCGCTGCGTGATTTTTTATTTTGATGAAAAAATTTGAGGATGATCTTTTAGGTGTCAAATATGAAAATCCGTTGCCGTTTTAATTTTTTGTTGCTTTACTTTTATTTGCCACCCCTTAGAAGTCTGAAATAGTGTCAATTTCTTACTCTCTTATAGTGGGCCAGAACTTTTTTTCTGTGACAAATATTGAAATAATTTTAATTTTGTTATACTGTCCAGTAAGTGTGTTTTCGATATAAATTATTTTTATCCAATTAGTTAATCTCATAAAAGAATGGTAAACCACTAAAGATTCATAATAATTTGCCAATTTTTGTGATTTTTGTCTGGCTCCTGTGCCTATTCTACTGAATTTAGAAGGTTCATTTTTTTCAGGTATAAAGTACTTATACAATAGAAAACGTAACTATTATTTTAAGTTTCTAGACTATCAATTTCTTTATCAAAAAAATTATTGAAAATTGATAATTCTCAAAATTAGCCAATTTTGCCCTCAGAAATCATTATGTTGAGGAAAAAATAAAAATCTGAAACTTTCAGGAAATGTAGTCCCCACCTTCATCTTTTCAGTCCAGTTAGTCTTGTTTTGTTATTTTTATTCCTTTAAAAGATATATTATTTTTTTTAATGGCCGTTTAGTAGCGATATTGTTAGTTTTATTTATAATTTAAAATTTAGATGGCTTTCATGTTTGGTGGAGAAGTGTCAGAACTGTCAAAAATATTTCATAAATATTATTTGTGCGTATTTCTTTGGTAAATTTTGTATATAACTTAATATGTAATATTATGTTATATAAAACTTTTTAAAATCACCAAAGGAATACCACAAATAATAATTATGAAATATTTTTGAGAGTTCTGATATTTTTGGTAGTTATGTTATATTTTATGTATTGAAAAATCATATTAAATATATATTAAATGTTAATGTTAATTTACACAATCTGTAAATACTTCTTTAAATTTTAGTTTTTAGGTAACTGGTTAAAATAAAACATGTTATAATAAAGGGGTTTATTTAGAATATTTTTTGGTTTTTGCCTATTTTTAACAATTTAAAACTTCTCAGAACTTAAATATTTTCTATAAGAAAGAGGTACAAAATTATGATATGTTCTTGCATTTTTAATTGCAATTAAATTAATGAATCTCGAACACTCCGTCATTTATTACACTTGCAAACTTGCAAACTTTTTGAAATCACAATTTAAATACACACAAATAAAATTTATGAAATATTTTTGACAGCTCTGACATTTCTCTACCAAACATGAATTGACTAAGTCAAAGCCATCTAAATTTTAAATTATAAATAAAACTAACAATATCGCTACTAAACGGGCATTAAAAAAATTAATATATCTTTTAAAGGAATAAAAATAACAAAACAAGACTAACTGGACTGAAAAGATGAAGGTGGGGACTACATTTCCTGAAAGTTTCAGATTTTTATTTTTTCCTCAACATAATGATTTCTGAGGGCAAAATTGGCTAATTTTGAGAATTATCAATTTTCAATATTTTTTTTAATAAAGAAATTGATAGTCTAGAAACTTAAAATAATAGTTACGTTTTCTATTGTATAAGTACTTTATACCTGAAAAAAATGAACCTTCTAAATTCAGTAGAATAGGCACAGGAGCCAGACAAAAATCACAAAAATTGGCAAATTATCATGAATCTTTAGTGGTTTACCATTTTTTTATGAGATTAACTAATTGGATAATAATAATTTATATCGAAAACAAACTTACTGAACAGTAAAACAAAATTAAAATTATTTCAATATTTGTCACAGAAAAAAAGTTCTGGTCCACTATAAGAGAGTAAGAAATTGACACTATTTCAGACTTCTAAGGGGTGCCAAATAAAAGTAAAGCAACAAAAAATTAAAACGGCAACGGATTTTCATATTTGACACTTAAAAGATCATCCTCAAATTTTTTCATTACAATAAAAAATCATGCAGCGCACTTTTAAATTCATTTTTGGTGTTTTCATTTGGATTGACTCATATGGGACAAGGGTACAGTTTATTTATCCTAAATATATTTTTATTCCCGACACATAAAGTTTTACTAAAGTATATTTATCGTTATTATTTCGACTATTAAGAGGTAATAAACAATATATTCACTATTAATAAAAGTATTAGCTACACAGTTTATTTGTCCCATTTTTTTCTCAGTGTAGCACAGATCTACGACCAAAAATTATGTTTACGTGTCCGAGCGTTTAGCTGTGATATTTCAAGAGTTGAAAATTAAAATAACTGGAAACAGTAACTGTTGTTCTGATTTACATAAATAATATATAAATTTACCAAATTTGTTTAACATTCGATTTAGTAAAGCTATGCTTAAAATAGGAAGGTAGGTTACAAAGATAGCTATCTAACTATAGTTTATTCGCTGTGTCTAGTCTCACGTTAGCGTGAACGCAATTTTATTCTTATTCTCACGCGGTGACGTCACTAATTATAATCCGTTTTTGTTCCCAGAGCGTTTAATATTTGACAACAAGCTAGATGGCTCCGATGGTAGGGCGGGCGCTTGGCATGCGAGAGGTCCCGGGTTCGATTCTAAGAACTTTTTTTATTTTTTTATTTCATAAATTTGTTGTTTCTTTGTTAAACAGTGTTCGGTTGGGTTGGGTTGGTTAATTTGTTTTAGTTTTATCGTAACATAAAATCTACCAGAAGTTGTCGAACTTTTTTTATTTCATAAATTTGTTGTTCCTTTGTTAAAGTGTTTTATTTTTATCGTAACATAAATTTGCCCATTTTAGTTGGGTTTTTTGCTCAATGGGGCGGGGTCGGTTGGATTGTGTTGTTGAGTTTGGGTTGGTTTGGCTGCAGTAAAAGAGTCTCGATTTTATTATTAGTAAATTTTATTACATTTGCATAATCAAATCAAATGACATAATCAAATAATAATCAAATCAAATGACACGACACCTAAAAAGTAAAATTAAATAAAATAATGCGTGAGAATAAAATTATTTTGACTTTAGCGTGAGAATAAAAATTAAATTGCGTTCACGCTAGCGTGAGACTAGACACAGCGTAGTTTATTAGTAAATTTAAACAAAGGTTGCTGTAAAACAATCAACAACTTTCTAACATTTAAGTAAGTAACATGTGATTCACAACGTACCTTTTTTGTTAATTTAATATTCTCTTTAGATTTTTCTTTAAGTTCCATTTCAGTGCTACGTAGCTTTTCTGAAAACGTTTTTATTTCTACTTCAGCATTTTTTAGAGTTTTCTGATTATTGTCTAGGCCTAATTTAAATGATTCTAGGTTCTAAAAAATATATATTTTTTATTATAGCCTATTTAATTTAAAATGAATAATTTTTACCTTGCAGAGATTAACGTTATCATGTTGTATCCTCTCTAAAGTCGATTTGGTATTTTGAAATTCCAACAAGGCTTCGTCGCGTTTTTGTATTTCCGACCTGTTCAGTTTTTTCAGAAGGGTTATTTGCATTTCTAAATTATTTATCTAAAAAATAAATAAAATCATTGTAGTATTTATACATTATAATGTAATGTAATGTAATTTCTTTTTAAAATTTGACTTAAACATTATTATACAGGGTGTCCCAAAAATAAGTACGTCTTGATTGGACATTTTCCGCGGATATCCCAACAAAAATTAAAAATAAGTATAAATTATATTAAATATAATTATTAATGATTAAATAATTGCAAAGTAACTTCGGTGCATTCGCAATTTTTGACAATACTTATAAATCAGGCTGTGAAAAGTATACACTAAAAACCATCATAATTGCAGTCCATCCATGTATGCTAAAATATGCTTAAATATAAATATAAGCATGCTAAAAACGCCAAGTGCTTAAAAACATTTTTATTCCTATATTACAGGGTAGACCAAAGTAGAAGTAGTTATGTACCGATTTCTATTAAAAAGAATGTAGGTACGTTTGCTGTAGGGTTTATTTTCTTACTTTAGATTGTTTTTCTGTTTCTGTCGCTGGTTTGGATGCGTTCTTGACGCTTAACCCATCCGTAAGGGTTAATGGAAAGTGCAAGATTACTTTTTATGAATGGATGCAAATTTCTTACCGTTTATTGCTGCAATCCACTGATACTCTCGTGTTTTGGCTCCTTTGGGAGACATGAACATACATTGCATACACCGGCACAGGTAGTTTAGCTGTTTTCTACAGTATTTTTATTTGTAGGAAGATTGCTTAATACACTGAACTACACTGTATATGAGGGATTTTGTTGTTTCTTTAATACTTTTATTATGATTAAGTACACTTAAGACCTGTTCGAGTGCACATCTGTTCGAGAGAACGTCTGTTTCGGTACAAATCTATAAATCTATAAATTAGTTAAAAACTTGTTTAAATCCTTATGTCCAATAGATTTAAAAAAATAGCTTTGGTAATTTTTTATAAATTAAAAAATTACAATTTTTAAAAATTTTACCTGTTCTCTCGCTTTTTAAACATATTTCGTTGATTATATATTATTATTATTATATTTACGAATTTTATTTACTTTCGAAGTTTAGTCCACTTGTTATAGATCACCCTGTATACAATTTAAAAACAATATAAATTTCCTCCAAACACTTAATTTTTAATAAAATATAAATATAAACAAATAAACATAAACAAAATATGTGCTTTCTCAGCCGTTTTTTCGCATTAGAGGTGGGGTATATCAAAAATTTGTTTGCATGCTTACCTATAGAAAATTTAAAAATACGCACGAAAATTATTTAAATTGTCAAATTATAGGCACTATTAAATTTTGTCAATTTATGTAATTTTAAAATATTTGTATTTACATTCAAGTTACATCTAAAGGGCATACCCGTAAGCAATGAATGCATTTGTAAACAATTTACAGCCTTACTTATAATAAAATAAAAAAAGTGGAACCTTACACCATACAGAGTGGAACCCTCCGTGCGCGAGTCCGACTCGCACTTGGACGGTTGTTTTTTTTAATTACTAACATAGTGTACATGTGCACACTATGGTATGTTATTTACATATGTATATAAATGTATACAATCTATACATTTTTTGCATATGAATACACAAATCGCTAAAATTATATTGAAAACAGTAAAAATTAAAAATTGTTATTGTCATTATAAACTAATATCTTCTGCGAAAGCGGAATTTAAATATAAGTTTGCGAAAAAAACTTTTGTGTTGCAATTTATAATTTACCATGGTTTATTTATTTAATAAATCGAAATATTACAGAGGAAAAGAAATAAGGAAAAGAAATAAAAATTTATTTAAAAGCCTATAAAATCTGTAATATTTAGAATTTTTAAATAAATTTTAAAATTTGTCAATAAACTACATAGTTACCATATGGAAAATTATAAATTGTATCACTAAAATTTGTATAATCTGGAGGGCCAGGCTGCAGGGTAGGCGTATCTTTTTTCGCAAACTTTTATTTAAATTCTGCTTGCGAAGAACTTGTTAATTTAGTGTCATTATGAACTTATATAAATTTGGTGTGGGTCCCATGTCTAATAACTAATATCGGTATACGCAAAATTCACCAGCCGCCACTGATCACTCCCCTTTTAGAACGAAGCAGAGACCAGAACCTGCAGGCATGCCTTCCAAAAGAAAGTATCCTACAAAAACGATTTGGAAGATAATCACAGAAAATTCCAACGAGGACTAAAATATATTTGACCTATTACTTATGAAATAACTAATTTTACAGATTTTTTTTTTTTTATTTGTATATAAATTATAAAAGTTGTAATGCTATAAATTAACAACTAAATTATAAGTTATAAACTAATATTGTATCAACTGGGCAGAAAAACCAAGGTTGATAGCATAGGCGGAGTTAGACACCTAAATCTGGGGGTGCAGGAGTCCGGACCCAAATATTTTTTTGGATTATTATGTGATAATCAGGCCGATTCACTAACTTAGTTGCTAACTAAGTTAACGACTCCAATTTACAATGAATTTTAACAACTTGATAAACACATTTTTTATTTTACTTAAAGATGTTTTTTAAATGTAGATAGACGTTATTTAAATGTAGATAGCAACCAGTCGTTATCGCTGTAGCTTGAGACACCAGCTGTGCTGCCTAATGTATCATGTAAATTGCAATTTTGTAATTGCAATTGCATTTGTGAAAATTGGCCAATTATATTTCTAAATGGGTCTGCAAATGGTCTTGAGTGCTTATCCCATCTACTTTGTATGTTAGGGCTCTAAAGTGTTTTGCTCTGGCTTTTATTTTGTTCCCCTTCCTAAATTGGTGCTTTAAAGGATTGGAGTGTTGTTAAGAATTAGTTTTGAGGAGTTGGGCTTAGGAGTGTGTGTAAAAAATTGTGATTTTATTAGGTTAATCTTAAGTCTCCAGATGGTGCATCATTTTTCCAATATTATTGTTTGTATGAGTTATTATAGCATGCTATACTGATACTGCAGTATCACCTGCGAATTGGACTTACTTACTTTGGGTGACGTTCATAATATCGAAATTCACTTTATCGAATTCAAAATATCGAACACTTTTTATCGAAAATCAAAATATCGAAAATACAAAATGTCGAAAATCAAAATATCGAAAATTAAAATGTCGAAAATGATAATATCGAAATTTTATTTAATCGAATTTTCAATTTATCGAAAATAAAATATCGACGTTCATAATATCGAAATTCACTTTATCGAATTCAAAATATCGAACACTTTTTATCGAAAATCAAAATATCGAAAATACAAAATGTCGAAAATTAAAACAAAATATTTTGTTTAAATATTTCAATTAATCGACATATTATTTTAATCCGAAGTGTATATGTACAGAGGCGCCTCTGATATAGAAATGTACTCAAACTCAACAACACAACCCAACCGACCCCCGCCCCATTGGCCCCCCCCCCGCCCCATTGAGCAAAAAACCCAACTAAAATGGACTAATTTATGTAATTAAAAAGTGTTTTATTTTATTTCGTAACATGAATTTGCCCATTTTAGTTGGGTTTTTTGCTCAATGGGGCGGGGGGGGGGGCAATGGGGCGGGGTCGGTTGGGTTGTGTTGTTGAGTTTGAGTACATTTCTATAAAACGCGCATCTCTAGGAGCCAGGGAGCCAAGATAATTCGGTGCATAACCGTAACTTTATCTACAGAGGCGCCTCTGTACATATACACTTCGATTTTAATCATACATTTTAATTTTCGATATTTTTAAATCGATATTTTAATTTTCGAAATTTTAATTATTCGACATTTTCAAATCGACATTTTAATTTTCGATATTATCATTTTCGACATTTTAATTTTCGAAATTTTAATTATTCGACATTTTCAAATCGACATTTTAATTTTCGATATTATCATTTTCGACATTTTAATTTTCGATATTTTGATTTTCGACATTTTGTATTTTCGATATTTTGATTTTCGATAAAAAGTGTTCGATATTTTGAATTCGATATAATGAATTTCGATATTGTGAACGTCACCCACTTACTTTGGCGTGAACTATCATAACCCCAAGGGATGACAACTTATTTTTATGACATTTTATAAATACTGTTTTACTTATGACGTATATTCCCAAATACCAGCCATATTTTTTGGTTTATTGCAGGTGTTGTACTCATGTTAGTGAATTGGCCTGAATATGTATCTACCTACAAATTAAATTACTACTTTCAGAAATCTTTAGGTATCTATTTAGAAAAAATCAAATATTATAATTTTATATTACATATTTATTTATTTTATTTAAAATGTAGAACTTAGAAGTGTGTAGTAAACAAAAGTAAAAAAAAGTATACAAAATCCAAAAATTATAAATCACAATGAATATTATTACGATAATCACACATAAGCCATCACTCATAAAATCAGATTTTTCTATACGAAACTGTGACTAGATGGATACAATAATTCTCAGTACTATTATGGATGAAGGTGTGAAATGAATAAGGTTTAGTACAGCCAAATATGATTTTATGAGTCGCCATTGTGTATGTGTGATCTCCCCTTTTTGTAAATCAGCGGATTTTAAAATGATTACATTTTTCTATTCTGATGACGCTTAATAAAAACTTGAAGAATACTGAGCAAAGATAATTTATCAAAACAATTTTAAGTCATAGTAATTCATAGACAATTTTTTCACCTCCTCATGACCGAAAAAGATCTCTCACAAGATGCTGAGAATATTGTCAATAAAATTGCAATTTTAAAAGTTTGTAATAATTTATAAAAGTTTAAATATTGATCATTTTTTTAATATTACACATAATTAAGCCATCTTAATGTTTTATGGTGTTTTTTATAACGACCATTTCAGGTTTCAAAATATCTAGCTATTTTAAATTTAGCAGCATGATGATTAACGAAGCGAGAACTACCATCAAAATCAAACTTTATAATTGTTTGTAATTGTCGATAGCATTGGCCATTTCTTGACTTTCTAAGGAAAATCAATCAAATCAATTTCTTCTTTTAATT